CAACAACAACAACAACAACAAGAACAACAACAACAACAACAACAACAACAACAACAACAACAACAACAACAACAACAACAACAACAACAACAAGAACAACAAGAACAACAACAACAACAACAACAACAACAACAACAACAACAACAACAACAACAACAACAACACCAACAACAAAAACAACAACAACCACAACCACAACAACAACAACAACAACAACAACAACAACCACAACCACAACCACAACCACAACCACAACCACAACCACAACCACAACAACACCAACAACCAATCACCAACAACCAACAACCACCAACCCACAACAAACAACAAACAACAAACAACACACAACAAACAACAAACAACAAACAACAAACAACACACAACAAACAACAAACAACAAACAACAAACAACGACGACGACGACAACAACGACGACAACGACAACAGCGACAACAACGACAACCACACCAACACCACCACCACCACCACCACCAACAACAACGACGACAACGACGACAACAACACCAACAACACAACCACCACCACCACCAACAACAACAGCAACAATAACCACGACGACGACGGCGAGGACGACGACGACGACGTCGACGGCAACAACAACGACAACGACAACCACAACAACCACAACAACCACAACAACCACAACAAACCACAACAACCACAACAACCACAACAACCACAACAACCACAACAACAACAACAACAACAACAACAACAACCACGACGACGACGACGACGACGACGACGACCACAACCACAACCACAACCACAACCACAACCACAACAACAACAACAACAACAACAACAACAACAACAACAACAACAACAACAACAACAACAACAACAACAACAATTAAAAACAACTACAACTACAACTACAACTACAACTACAACTACAACTACAACTACAACTACAGCAACAACATTTTAACATTCAACACAGAGCGCTGAGAGTGAGAAGAGTCACAAGAACACCCCACACGGAACACACACAGACACACACGTGTGCCCAACAGCAAACTGCAATCATTGCAGGTTTGCGGCTTTGTATCCAGGTCACCCGCTTGGTAGGCGTGGGAATCGCCTGGCAGCCTTTGCGGAACCACCAGAAGCCGGCGTGAGCATCTGCCAGGGGCAGCAATGCTGCGAGGGCCCAGCATCCGAGTTTCATGGCTGTCGGATGGGAGATGCTGAAGGAATCTGACGGCGTTTGCAGCAATTGAAGTTGAAGGGCGCTTGGGTAGACTTGGCTTGTCAAGCGAAAATATGTTCTGGGAAACCTTCCAGGCTTGAGACGTGGCAGCACGATTCGGCACTTTGGGGGCCACGCAAACCCAAGACTCGCTCAGATCAGACGGGTCCCTTAAGTGAGGCTGAAAGAGTTACAGCCTGAGCTTGTGAGAGCTATGCAACCTCCCAATTTTCAGGGATTTGGTCGGCTTCCTATGAAAATGATCAATGTCCCCACCTGCGATACATACCCTAAATGGCAACTCCCCTTGTCAAAAGACCGCATGGCCTGGGAACCCAGAATCGCAAAAAACTGCCCGAGCTGAGATGAGGAAACACTCGGCATCCATTTCGTTGTTGTCCCATGTCCCCAAGGTCCCAGTTTTTACAAACACATGTCATAGGCTTCCGTGACTGACAAATGCTGTGACGGATGTCCAGAAGTTGAGAGCCTTTTTTTGCGTTGTGGTGAAACATGAACCAAGAGTGAACCAACCAGTTGATATTGCCAACACCCATATTTGTGCTCGCTGGAAGCGCTTCCTATATCGAACAGATTACTGAGTTAAACGAACAGGCACTTACACAAATAAGTCGACCATGCTCTTTCCCTCACTTCCTGCGTGGACCGGCCAAAACACGTGCCGACACTTTTCCAAATCCAAAAAGTCTGTGTCCAACAAACTTTTGGGACTGAGGAGTCGTGTCCCCATCCATCCAGTAGTCAAAAGCCAAAGCGTGTTGGGAGTGAGGAGTCCTCCCACACTAGGTCCTCCAGTAGAGAGCTGGGAATGAAGGTACCAACTTTTGTCTGCTAGTCTATTTTAGGGGAACCCTCTCCCCCAGCAAAAAAGCTGGTAAAAGGGCACTACTGGGGCCCCTAGCCCTATACAAACAAGGACCAACACATCTGGGGTCCAGTTGCTGGTTTAAGTTTGACCCATATGGAATCTGGGCCCTCAATTTGGCCAAACGCAAGGGAAACCTCCCGCACATGGTTTAATCAAGAACAACACTATATAGTTACGCCTAGTGCGTCCAAATTCAGCTTTATGGTACCCCGCACCACCCCTTTTTAATATATGGGTGTGGGTCAAAAATAGGTACCCCAAATGAACCATGGACCAAAACCTGCGGTCCAATTCCTGGTGGTTTAATTTTGACCCATACCCATATGGGTGTGTTATTCTTTGATTTGGCACCTCCACTCGTCTCGCCCAACGCCGCTTCGATGCCCTCGATTCTTCGCCTCCGCCTCCGAGGCACTGAGCTGTGCGCTCACCCGGCTGGCGGCCGCCGGGCGGGCGCTGCAGGCCTGGCCGGAGCGAATGGCAAAAGTCGCCTCCCAACGAGTGGGAAGTAGCCCAAAGAACAGGGCCAACCAAACGGCCGATAAAACAAAGTGGTCCAACCCCAAACCAAAAAAACAAAAGACTCGAAAAGTAGCAAAGGTCCAAACCCAAACAAAAAGGTAACCAAACCCCAAAAAGATTGGACGACCAAAGTTTGGCTTACATTAACTGTTGGATCAGGGTTCAGCTCAATCAAGGTTCACTGTTGGACCAAACTTTGTCGATTACCGCCAAAAATGGTCCAAACCCAACAAGTGAACTAAAGTCCATGAACATCTTGGAGCGAGATGCCAGACCCAGCCTTCCAAGCAATCAGGAAAATATGATGGCATGCAACTTGAACTACACTCCCTGGAATTAAACTAGCTCAAAAACTTTGCCCGGGTGACAGTGCCGAGAAAGGACACATGGTGGGGCTGGGGCAGAACTATCAAACTGGATCACAAACGCATTCACAGGTTCATCATTTCACTTTATGTCTATCCCCTCATCTTTGCTGCTTTCAACCCGAGGTGTCCCACTGTTTTGATGTCCTTTTTATCTTCCTTATCCAGCTTGTCATTTGCATGTTCTCTTTCCCCGTTCATCCTACCTTGCTTTTTCGACTGGGAGAACATAGATTGGTCCGAAAGCAGAAAAATCGATGGCACAAGTACATGATTAGAACCACTGCTATTCTGTTCCGCGAATCGGGCAGCACTCATATTGATGAATGTCGCCCCCTGTGGGTGTGAATTTCTTGACAGAGGATCCTGTAGACATCGTTTTGGTCATTTGTGTCCATCCTTGAGGGGTGTTGCAAAAAAATCAAAGGTGGTTTCCACCCACAATGATTGCCGGACTAGCAAAACGCATGGAAGCAGACCATCTATTTATGTGGTTCTTGTATGTCCAACTTATTGTAAGGGTCTCAAGCTAACCTCAAAAAGGACACCCTCTAAACAGCTCCGCTTGGCCCATCCGTGAAAAAGCCATCTAACCTGACCGACAAGGACACCTAGGGTCTTGCCCCATTTGGGTATGTCTTGTTTTCGGGGACCCCCAAACCGGCGGTTTTTTTTTTTCCCGTTTTCCTTCAGAAACCAACCCAAAAGGGGGTAAAAAGGCACTCCCGCTTCGTTCCCCTTCCCCCCTTCCCCAAGAAAAAAGAGGAAAGAAAACGAAAACACCCGCTTCGTTCCCCTAGGTATCGTGGCATGACCAATCCATGTTCCATGTGCTTCCTTCATGTGGATCCTTGCCTGGAGGCTCCCCAAACACAGCGCAGCCCCATGCTCCGCGGAGCCAAGGTGAAGGCCCACGTCCACCTGCGCGGCACTTTTGCTATGTGTTCGGATGCCTGCCATTCCTGGATTCGTGTTTGCATCTTTTGCTAGTTTTCGGCGGAAGTAGCATTGTTCTTGCTGTCGCTGTTGCTTTGCTGTGGCTTTGGATGCTGCTGTTGCCATGGCCGTTGCGTTTGGTGTTGCTGTTCCTGTTCCCATTCCCGCTGTGGTTGCGGTTGTGGTTTGCGTTGTTGCTGTTGTTGCTGTTGCTGGTGCTGCTGCTGTTGTTGGTGGTGGTGGTGGTGGTGCTGCTGCTGTTGCTGCTGCTGCTACTGCTGCTGGTGAGGTCGTCGACGCCGTTGTCATTGTGTTCAAGCCGTCAGCGGCTCGGCAAAACTCTGAGAGAACTTCAAAGCGCACCAAAAAACAAGGAATTCGGAGTGAATCCCGATGCAAGTCCGGAAGGTGTGAAGGGGGAGGGGATCTCAGCGAAGGTTGGAAGGCTAACATGGCTCTTCTTTCAAGCACGAATGATCAAGAACCATGCCCTGCATGCAAAAAGGGTGGGGGAGGCTGTTTCGACCTCTTTGCCTTTGCTTGACCGTTTAATATACGGCCTGTTGGCTCGCTGGCGTGAGGAAATGAGCAAAGAAAGGCCCTCAAAGGAACACATTGCGTCCTTGCGTCGTTCCATTCTTCATTCCTGACATAGACAGCCTCTGCTTTGATATAATTATCGGTGGCTCCTCATTTTCTGAGTTGGCACCCCCTGTTTGATGTGGTTTTAAAGGGAAACCAAATCGACATCACTCATTGTTGAATACTAATAGCCCACCTCGTGGATGATAAGGCAGCATTGACCTCAAGCGGCGCTTCAAGTCCCAGTGAGACCAAATCGGACCAGCCCGCCGACGTCAGCGACGCCGAACTTTTCTACAACAGTGATCCTTGCATTATACACCTGAACATTGCCTTGTAAATGCCAGTGTCCCTTTATTTTGGCGGAAAAAACCATGTTTCAAATGGGCAAAATGTATCTTTTAAGGAGCCCTGTACAAACTGTACCCCACAACCGGAAGGAACCTGTGGGAGGGTACCTGGAAGAGCAATGTCCTTTTCAAGGGACACTCTGCGTCATAGCAACGTGGGAGGGTACTAGTTTCAGTTGAAAAACTCCGCTTGCGAGCCCTCTGGCAACAAACCGAGCCTCCACGTGTGATGTGAGCTGAAGTAGGCGGACTCACCAGAACTGCCTTCAAAAAGAAAGCTGGGAAAGCAAGCAACTCAAGCAATGAGACAACAAACGGGCACCTCCCGCATCCCTGAGCATCCTGAAAATGTCACAAGGGCTGCATCAAAATCGGGGGGCTGCTGGGACAAATGCGTGCGTGCCTTCCCGGACATCACAACAAATTGATACAATGCCTATAGCGAGCTCTCTACAGATGGAAAATTGGGATACAAGGAACAGGATGCAAAAGAAACAAGGCGCAAAGGGAGCAAGGAAAGCACCTGACACGCATCCTGAAAGCCGGTGTGAGTGGATGGATTTCCCGCAAAATACATTCTGTTTAGCTCTGGTGTCTTGTCAAACCCACTCAAACGAGGGCACCCTCGCACAAGGTACGCCATACTAAGGATGCACGAAATCCATTTCGCACCAAGACCTAAGACCTCCTGGAATGATGAAATCCCCGCAAATACCAACAAGTCAATGGATTCCCACGGCTTGAAGCCGGCACGAGATGGATTTCGTAAAGGTATCCACCGCACCGACTGGAGGGCTCCCAAGCCGAGGGACTGGACGCCACGCCCCTGGCGCGCTGCGCCTCTGGCCGGCGGTCTCCCTGAGCGACAGATTCTCAGACTCGGCGCAAGCAGAACCTGGTTGACGCTGGAAGGGGAGCAAAAAAAATGAAAACAAATTAGCAGCTAATTTAATGAAGTGGTTGGATTTCAACCACTCAACCACAATAAGCAACAGTGTAAAATGATTCCCAACAACCATGAGAAGGGGCCAAGATGATCCTTTCTTCTCTCTGCGGGCCGTAAAATCCCTATGAAACGCTTGCCCATTCCCGTAAGCTTCATGGATTCCCCATGGGTGAGAAGGGTTGCAAGTTATCGCTGCGGTCAGAGACAAATCGAGTCTTTGGCTCTTCTTTGCTAGGCTGGAATTAGGACCCCAGCAAAAAAAAAAAAATGCCTGGTTATATAAGGGAAAAGAAAGGGACCCCAAAAGCGCAAAACAACAAAAAAAAGCTAATTCTGGGGAAGTTTGATGGAAGAATGGAGAATTGAAGAGCTTCGTCTCCAGCCTTCAGGGCGAATCGTCAACTCTGTTCCGCTTGTGAAGTCAGCTCATCGCAAAGTCCACTGAGGAATTCTAGGCCGCGGGACTATCAGAAAGTCTCCAATGAGATCTCTCCAACCTCGTAGTAAATCAGTGACGATTGCATCCATTGTTTTGGTTGAAATCATTGAATCATATTGAATCACGTAGCATGCGTGAGCAAAAGGACCTGAGGGCTTGCAAAAAAGCCAGCGAAGGACTGTTGCCGCTACATCAGCCCATCTTTGGCTCCGAAAAGCTTAGGACTGTCGACATCGACAATTGTGCATGAGACATTTGCGCTCAAGCACCTGTCAATGCGTTCCGCCCGAGCCGAGCGTATCACAGGCTGCAATTCACAGCACCAGGGCTCCTGCGATCTCCTGTACCAAAGTATTTTGCAAGCAATGAGTTCGTCTCATGCGGGTACCCCCAAGTTTTCCGTTCAAGAGGCGCCCTCGAAGAAGGCACGCAGTAGACAAAATATGTTTCCGCAAGAAGTGGTGCTAGGTCCTCCAGTTTTGGAGGTGCTCGAATAAGGGTACCGTTTCTTTTTTCTGTAGTCTATTTTAGTAGGGGAACCCTCCCAACCACAAAAGTTGGTAAAAGTTGGCACTACTGGGGGACCTGGGGTGCTAAGCCAAGAAGCAGAGAGGCGTTGGATACTGTCAACCATGCCGCAACTCAACATCATGAGAACATCGGTGAGAGCAAGCATGTCAATCTGTACATCTTGCCTCCCTCCTAGGACTGGACACCGATCTTGGGCTGAGAATGTCACCCAAACCGATGGACGTCTCGTAAACTGTTTAATACCATTAGCAAACCCGAACTACATCAACTGCTTCCACAAGTGCTGTTTTACCAAAGAGAACCGGAAACGGCTCAAAAACAATGAGCAAACATGACTCATGTGAGCTCCCACCCGTGATTGAATTGGGAGGATATCCCCCGCTTCTTGTTTCAGCCTCTCCCTCTCGTGCCTCCACATACTCTGCGGGAATGCCGTCCAAGTCCGCGCCACCTAAGCACAAGCGCCGCCCTTGCGGGGTCGTGGTTGAAGCCGAGGGTAAAGAGTAGAAACCCCAAGGAGAGGATTTCCTGAGATTCCGTAAATGTTGAGAAGAGGCTAGACAACATAGACGCCCAGCACAGCACAGCTGCTTGCGCGTAAAGGAACGCGCCAGGCTGACCATTGCACTCTTGGGCGATGGCACTCTTGCGTCTATATATATATATATATCGCAGCGGTGGTACAAAATACCTTTCCTTCATACGACCTTTTAGGCACTTACTGCTCATCCAAGCGTGAGGCGGTGTAAAACAACCTCACCTGTGAAGCACCAACACGACTTATTTCACAGGCCAATCGAAACGCCCATGCGGCATTTCTAGGCGTACGGCCCAAAAAACTTCATTGCGAATCAAGAGACGCAGCCCCAGACCGAGATAGACCGAGAGTATGAGGGCCTTAACCGCCCAAAGACCTCGAATGAGCTCTTGAGCTAGGGCCAAAAATATGAAATGCTCAAACCGACAAGCAAGAAACAGCTGACATACTTGGGCAGCGTGGAGCTCAACACCGGCACGCGCGTATAAAACAACTCCTTGCAATTGTTTGAAGCTGAAGCTTGGATCAGCAACTTTGATGGCTTCTCGCTCGCTGCTTGCTCTCCTGCCTGCCTGCCTGATTACTTTGCTGTCGGTGTGGCGTGCTCAAGTGCTGCCGTGGCCCAAAGCCGCGACCCATGGGATCGGAACACTGCGGATTCGGCACATGTGTTGTCTTCAAATTCTGCATCTCCGGTTTCATCGGGAGCATCCCTGGAAGTTGTTTCTTTAAATCTTGGAGCTTTTGAGTTGTTCTTAGCATTTTTCAATTTGTCCGTTTGCGCCGTCCTTCCTGGTATGTCTTGCTTGCTTCGACCCCCCTCCTCTTCCTCATTTGCTTCGACTTGTGTGAATTTGCATCTTGTATGACATTGATAGCCTCGCGCATATATAATGAGTCAACAAGTAAGCAATTTGATTGACAGGGACGCAACCCCATACCCTCCTATCAACGCTTAAGGGCTGGGTGTCTATTCAGCCTTGACCGCGTTGCGTGGTTGCAAACGCGGCGTGTGGGTGTGGGTGTGCGTGCGTGTGTGTGCGCGTGCGCGTGCGTGTGCGTGTGCGCGTGCGCGTGCGTGTGCGTGTGCGTGTGCGTGTGCGTGTGCGTGTGCGTGCGCGTGCGCGTGCGCGTGCGCGTGCGCGTGCGCGTGCGCGGGCGCGGGCGCGGGCGCGTGCGCGCGCGCGTGCGCGCGCGCGTGCGTGCGTGCGTGCGTGCGCGTGCGTGCGTGCGTGCGTGCGTGCGTGCGTGCGTGTGTGTGTGTGTGTGTGTGTGTGATAATCGCAATATGAACTAGAGTTGCTTTAAACCGCGCTGAGGGCTTGCTTGCAAAAGTAAGTTGTGGTGCAATTGCCTCGCAGCATGTCCAGCATGCCTACGCTGTTGCAGTGGACAGTGCCCAAACAACATAGGTTGATCAGGCCAAAATCCAACTTCAAATTATTTTGGTCAGTGTATTGGGTTCAAGTCTAAATACCACGCGTGTCGCGCCTTTCGGAGCCGGACTTCGGAACATTCTCGATGTGCTGCAGGTCTGCGCTTAGCAAGTTGCTGTTGGGTAGGGGCTTACTCTTGGTTCTCAGTAGGGAATCAGGGAAGGACCCCAACCCAAGAACCCCTATGGTTTCCTTTGCTTCATTCCCCAACACCCACCACGGTCATTCCCCGCCCCTCGCAGCGATCGCAAGTTTGGGCGCTGGCGGCCCAATCGCCACTTGCTTACTCAAAGCGCCGAATCGCCGAATCGTCCGCTGAGGCCCTCGGGAAATCCCCATACGTCCGGAAACAAATGCGCAACTTGAACACAAGGTTGGGCGGACAAAGAATTACATGTGCTAACTTTGAAGTGGGTTGGCCCTTGACCTTGCTTTGCATGCAGTGCAGAATTGTTTTGTAAGGGCTACAAGTAGTTGTATTTGGCGTTGGTGTCGTGCGGTTTGCTGCGTGTGCTTTTGTATTTTGAGTGCTCTGGTTCAGGATTGAGTTTGGCGCCAAATGCGAAATTGGCGGCCTTGTCGGAAGGGGCACTGGTTGCCGCATCGTGCCTCTGCAGCGCACGTTGTCTTTGCAGCTCGCGGACAAAGGCTCAAACCTTGATGTGTTTCGAATCCTGACGGCTGTTTGGTGGATTCTCAGGCTGCTACTTTGGCGCATCACTTGCGACGCCCTCAGCTATAGCATCGAGTCTGCTAGCCTGGCTTTTCGACTTCGCGCGACTCCCAGAAGTCAATCCAGGCGTGAGCCAGCAATGGGCCCAAAGCGAGATTTTCATCCTCGCGTGCAACTGGCTTCCAGCGTCTGAATCGCTTTTGTCAGCATTGCCAGCAAACTGTCCGCATGCAAAGAAATATGAAATTTTATTTTTTTGTTTAAAGAACAAAAAGAGATTTGGAGCCCTTTCAGTCTTCGGCGATGAAGTCCGCAAATGGCTAGGGCGGTCTCTTTCCCGCGCGAACGACTCCAGCTGGGACGTCCGGACCCTCCGTTTTGGTCTTCGTGAAGAGGGGCGCCAGGAGGTGCCAGGTGTCCAGCAGACCTGGCAGATGGAGCCCAAGCGAACCTGATGACTTGGCGGCCGTTGATCCGGCAAAAAGTGGACCACTTTTAATTTGGGGGTTTAGTGGAAAACCCAACTTGATTTCAACCAAGTTAAAGTCTAAAGATCCAACCCAGTAGCAGTCAAGACTGGGACTGCCTTGGCTTGGGTGTTCGGGATGCCAAGAGAACACCACCCATTTGGGGGCCCCTATCTTGAGATGCCAAATCCTACTCTGGAAGCCTTGAAATGATCCCCGCTTGACGAGCATTGCCGGAGTAAGGACACCTTCCTCGCAAGCAGAGGCGTCGTAGTCGATGTTTGCGTTGGCTACGCTTATTTGAGAAGATCATCTCCGTTGAACCATGCCGCGCAACACATTCTGAGCATCCGAGCAGGTAAGGTAAGAATAGAAACGCCCATTTCGTCCCATTTCTCGGGCCATTCGCAACATGTACCTCAAAAAGAAGGCAGCCCGGCAGTTTGGGCAACACCCGGTTGGGCCAACTGAGCTTGAGAACTCTTCAAGAGCCCCAGAGTTCAGAGCACTTGCCCGTGGAAGGTCAAGCTTTTGGGGCAGTGAAGAAAAAACTGGACTCAAAGATCAGATGTTGCTTTGTGCAACTGAGCTGCCGGCTCCCCCTCCCCTCCTGCCCTCCCTCTCAGCCTTGGGTGGGAGACAACTGCACGGACAGAGTGACCAGCACCACCCGCGACCTCTCAGGCGACTGCCAAGGAACGGTCGCAGGGAATAAGCATCGACCGTTGACGTGCGGAGTGTGCGCTCATCGAAAGCCGGTGTCTCAAAATCAGCAAACAGCTCCCATGGAGCGATGGCTCCGTTTCAAGCGAACCAAAAGGAAGCCACACTCGATCCGCAAGCCTGATGTTGGCCAAACAAGACTCATCCTCTTTTGGGCTTGCGGATTTCCATTTTTCCAGTAGAAATCGAAGGTGAGCGGTCAAAAAGCAAAGAACGGGATTGTTGAACATAATTAACGTATGAATTTGTGCCTACCATGGCACCATGGAGGTTTAATTAACAAAAAGAAGAACGACGCTAGCTACTCCTAGTGCGTCCAAGTTTAGTTTTATGGTACCCCGAACCACCCCTTTTCAATATATGGGTGTGTCGTTTTGGGATTTGGCACCCCTTATTTGGTGGTGTTCCAAATAAAGAACAGAAGGAAATCCCACAATTTTGCGGGGCTCCACTCAACTTGGCTGTCCTCAGATCCCCTGCTGAAAGTTCAACTTGTAGTGGGCTAAATGAAATAAACCAACCAAAAAGCAAAACATCTGAGGAACCGGATGGCTGGGAACCACCAAGAAAACTCACTATGTTGGGGGCTCCGAAACAAAAAAGACGAGCCTCCCATTTCGGCCCTCTCGCTAGCTCCTGCCTCTCCGAAGTAAAGGCGGCCGACAGCTCCAAAGCGGAGCGCAGCTGCAAAGGCTCACCCTGTGGGACATGGGCTGGATCGTTCTTAGGATTTGGACCCCGCCCAAAAAACCCGCAAAAGGGCGCAACGGTCACAAGCTGGACGCTCTCCGGGCACAGACCTGTTGCCATTATTATAAGTTGTTGTTTTTTTTCCGTTAGGTCGGACCCCCCAAAAACGGCGCAAGAGGGTGTTCCGTTTGGTTTTCCTTTAAAACCAGTGAACAGGGGTGCCAGTAAAACAAGACACACCCACATGGCAAAAAAACAAACCTAGAGCTTCGTCCTCCTGAAAAAACAAAAACGTAGTTTCCGCCTTTGACTGGATATCGGGAAATCGTAGCACTTCTTGCCGCAAAAACCTGAAACTCCTGGAACTCCTACAAAAGCACGCCATTGCAATGCTCGCGGCCTTTGACAAATTCAAGGAAGCTTTGCAGGGGCAAGCAGCTTGATGCAGCCCGCAAGTTTGTCAAAACATGCAACGGCGATCCAAAGTTGTGCGGTGCAGAAAAAGCGCACCCATGTTGACCGCAAAACTCCCGCAAATTTCCGCAAGTCTCCCGCAACACTCCCGCAAAAACCCGCAAACTCCCGCAAATGTTTTGAATGATTAAGGCTTTTTATGTTCACTGGCACGTTGGCAAGCGCTGCGAGCTGTATTGGCTTGTATGGCCAATGCGCGGCTGGAAACGACGCGCAAATCGTATGTGTTGTTGCCCCAGTTGTAGCTAAACCACTTGAATGCGGTAAATCGTAGGGGTCTCCTGAAACACCCAGAATTTCCCGGAGTTTCAAGGTCCAGGAAGCAACATAAATCCCCACGGTTCTACCAGTATCAAAGTCACCCTCTAGGTGATGGGTTAAAGGGAGACAACCTGGGCTTCTGACTTTGACAACCCATGGAAACAAAGAAACATAGTGAGCCCAGAGCCGTGATGACTAAATGGGAAACAGCCAAACAAACGTTCTTTGTTGTCGAGACAACCCATTCCCTGTGTAAAAAAACACACACACACACAAGTGGCAACCATCGCTGCCAAATGGGTGGAGATGGTCATGGGCTGTTTTGACCATAGCCCTATGGGGAGTATTGGTTGGTAGTGGACCCTTACGAAATGGCTTGTTTGGTTCCAAAGCAATCCAAGAATGCATATCCTCAAAAAGGCTCACATCGCCAACAGACATAGATATGTGGAAAACTGTTGGACATCAGAAACACATTGGGTAGGATTTACGCATGTCCACCACGCATGAGAGTGCATTCCCAACTAAACTCATAGCCATGCATGCTTGAAGAATCCCGTGACTCCCACAACTCGACTTCCCGGCTTTTCCCGCGCCCAAAACCTACAGACTTTTGCACGGTATCACTCTGACCTCCGTTACTCGCAAAGGGGTGAGAAATCGTCAGAGCCCAATGACAAGACCACTGTAACCGCATGGGAAGCAACCGCTGGAGTCATGCAGAAGAGCTCCAAGTCCGGCATGCCAAAGAGATGCAACTCCGCAGCTTTCCCTTGCCGAAAGGTTTCACAGCAGCCTTCCTCTCACAACCCAGTAGTGAACTAGAGTCATGGGGTCTGGGGGAGGGAGGTGAGGGAGCCCAATTAGCTTGTTGTAATAAGTACTTAATAAGACCTTGTGTGGGCTCCCTCCCTCCCTCCCTCCCTCGCAGGGCACCGGAACAGACTCGCACGCTCAACACTGTGAAACAAACGGCTCCATTGTACACCGTCAGGCTTTCTTTGACCAAGTTCCGTAGGCAAGAGGCCTACGATCAAACAATGATGTACGTGAGGGGACGTTGTGTCGCGCCGCGGCAGGTCAAAGCACCCGTGTCAGGACAGCTCAAGGCACATCTTCAACGTGCCACTTGCTGGCTCTAGGTGCGCTACTTCAGCACTCATGTGCCACTTCAGATGGCGAGGAAAGTGGCAATGGCTGCGCTTGTGTTGCGGACCCCTGCATCACTGGCGTAGCAAGCAAAGTGTTGGTGGCCAACTCAGTTCTGACAGCCGGATGAGCTAGAATTGCGTTGTGGTAAAGTGACTGCTATTTCGCGGCGTTTTACTGATGAAGCCACTTTCAAGCATGTCAGTCTGCGTCCCAAGCGCAAACTGTGATTGGGATCTTGTGTTTGTTGGCAGCTCAGCTTACTGACACTCAATCTGTCGCCATGTTTCTGAAAGCTAAACATGTGTTGTTTGATTACACAGGGATCCTTATGTGTGTGTGTGTGCGCAATTCAAGCATTACTCCACAGGACGCTCATTTCAAAATGATCCTAAAATCACCCAAACATAGACATTTCCAGATTTGCCACATGTTTTCCGGACCCATGTAGGATTCCCCAGGCCGGGGACTCCGGCCTCCAGGGCAGAACAAACGAAGACGCTGCGGCCTCCCGCCAGCGCTAAGCTGTCCCCGATGAGCCCCTGCAACCTTCGAATCGAACCACATCGCGGAACGGAGAACGAAGCTGCTGGGCGCTGGAATTCGGACCCCAGCAAAAAAAATGGAATTATTGTTTGCCTACTGGAAAACAAAGAGAACCCCAACAAAGCAAAAAGGAACAACAAAAAGGGAACTAATTCTGAAAAAGGTTGAAGCTTCCACTTTGGGTTGAAGAAACCACTGGGATCGGAATACCCAACAGAGTCTCACTTCCTGGGTGGATGGCAAAAAAGTCCGAACTGTTTGTTGACCACTAAAATGGTCTTCCCACAAAGTCTATTCAAAGGTCCAGGAACTCCGAGAGTGAGGAGTTCCCAAGAAGGTCTGAGGATAGAGCAAATATCAGGGCTGCAGGTTCCTGGACACTCAAGACCTTGCGTGGATTCTCTGCAAGTGGGTTCCCCAAGGCCCCCACAAGTGGAAGAAAAAAAGCCCAGAGACGGACTTATAGCCCACAACGAGACCAGGTCAGCAAGCAGCAACAACAACCTGCAAACATATTGCTTCCCGTGTTGAAACTGAGCACCCCGGATGGTTGAAAGAACATCTGATGCCAGAATTCCAAGCACATTGCATGTTGCGCACCAACTTCAGAGTTTCTGGATAGCAGTCTGCCTTCCCAGAAATAACCGATGGATCCGACCAAATTATTCTGAGAATGAAGTAGAAACGAGCTCTTGCAACACACCCCTTCAAGGGGACAGGGGACATTTGCAAGGGCCTTGGTTCCTCGGAGATCCGGTTAAAACAGAAAAAAAAACTGTCACAAGTGCGATCACCTGAGAATTCTGAAGGGGTTTCCCAATCCGCAACTCCTCGGGTAACAGGATACCTGGACCTACTTCAACCTCAGGGCATCTGAGCATTAAACACTATTGAAGAGGCAGAGGGAGGAAGGATCAACTTCACTCGTGGCCTCACAGCAGGACCGCTCGTTAGCACCAGGTGGTTCGTGGCCAAACCCGCTAAGGGCCCCAAGTCTTCAGATCCGGCGACAGAGTGGGGGCGAGGTTAAGGGGCGTGGCCTTCTTTGGGGATTCTCCCAAATGCGGAAATCGTGTGGTTGATTTTCCCTGGGTGCAAGTCCACCTTGTACCCGCATGCAACTCCGTTTGCTCCGGGCATCCCAGCTTAAGCCGCATGACGCCTTCAGCGTCCGCCAGGCCTGCAATCCGAGAGAAGCTGCCCCGCAGCTAGGGACCCTGTTGCTTCAAGTCGGTATGGTCAAACTTTGGGTCCGTTTTGGAATGCTTGAAAGCCGGCAGCGGCGGCATCGGTATTAAGGGCGCCAGCTTCTTGGCAACTCCGCTGGTTCATCAACCTGTGGTTAATCAAGAAGGGGATGTCTCAGATAAGAGGGACTCCGGGTCACTTTTGGGGGAGATTGGTTGGTTGGGGGTTGATCATGCTTCTGGAAAAGGGACCAACCGGCCGTAAAAAAAAAGAGGCACTGGAACCGCGCGTTCATAGTGAAGAGTGTCCCGGCCAAGGACTTAGGACTGGCATCATTCTCATTCACGAAGGCTTCATACAGTTTTGCAGCATTCACTTCCCAAACTGAGTCACAATCAAAAACCATTTTGTTGTTTATCAAAATGGTCTAACCAGAACCATGCTTCAAGAATTCAGAAGGCGGATATCCGCAGCTATTTATGGTTGGGAAGAATCCCATATTAACGTTCATCTACCCGGGTTTTGACTGTGGCTCAACTGGGCCAGTCAAAAAAAAAGCGTTGAGTGTGTTGCCCCGCACAAAAGCCTTCCAACAAGCGGACTGAGCCGCCACTTCCATAGACTATCTGACAAGCACAGCGCGAGCAACGGCAAATTGGGCTGAACGCACTCTGTCTCTCCGACTCCCTTTCTGTATGGGGGTCTTTTTGAGGTTACCACTTGTTTGTGGTTTTGAAAGGAAACCAAAGGGAAGACCACGATTTGGCGTGTGCGTGTGAGAAAAGACACACCCCTATTGTGTTTGCGCTACGCGTTCATCATGTGACTTCAGCGTGCGTGACAGATTGCCGCAGGTAGCGCCTGGCGCGACCATGCTCTTGACGGTGGCCAGCTCTAGCATGTGCAGGTGCAGCCGGACTTTCGGCTCCTCCAAAAAGGAGCCCCGCCCCTTCCTGCGAAAAACCGAAGTCGATGTTCACTAGATCCTCCAGAGTGTTGACAATAAGGGCACCTGCTTTTTTCTGTAGTCTATTTCAGTAGGGGAACCCTCCCCCCAAAAAAGGGTAAAAGGACACGATCCTGGAAAATCTCGGGTCTGGGGGATCAAGGGAGCGTCACTGCGCGATAACACAACATGTCTGTTGGTCTTTGAGCCCGTTCCAGTGTGGCTTCCGGATTTGAGAGACCTACGGCAGCAAAGCAACATGAAAAGTGAGAGCTATCCATACACATCGAAGCGCTTTTGGACAAAATGCCAATGGATCCAGCAGAAGTTCTATCATTTGCACACCTCTGAAATAACGCATCCCCCAGAGAGGAACTTGTTTGGGTAAGCTCGTTCCACCTCTTTAGCGCAGAAGCATTGGCGAACGTGGTCCACTGTAGGCAACTGCGATGTTTGTTTTGAGATCTTCAGGCCCTTTCAAGAGATTCTTCCTGTTGTTCTTCCCTCTAACAATGGTCATTCACCATTTTGAGCGTGCCTCGGTTGAGCGTACCATTGGGACTTGAAGGCGACGCCTGAGGGAAACGACTCGCTTTGGGGCTGAACTTGGCTGCGCCTTTCTGTGGAAGGAAGCAAGGTCCCGCATGTTGGGGTCTAAAACCGGGCCTCAAAATCGTCCCGTGAGACCTCAAAATCGTCCGGGGTGATTGAGCATCAGTGCCTTTTTCCAACTTGGTGAGTCGGCAGTTGATAGCACCGATGCATGTGGTTTTTTGGAGCCCGGGCTTGGAGCACCAGGAAAACCGTAGGCAACCTCCGGTCTGGAGGTTCCATGAGGCACACCCTGGTCTTGAAATTCTATGAGAGTGCCCTTTTCAAGGTGGCTTGAATGGAGAGCTATGAGGAAAACCCGTCATTTTGGGGGTACCCCTATTTTGAGACACGCCCATTTTTGAGGGAAGCCTTTGGGCTTAAGGGAAACCAATCCTGAAGCCTACCTTCGAGTCTTCCCCCCACTCCTCCGCGTCAAAAGGCCAGAGCCGCAGTGATGCCTGAGTCATCGGATGCGGCGCGGCCCTCGTTGCTTGGTTGTCTTTTGTTTTTTTGTTTGTTGTTCGTGTTTTATTGATCTTTTTGTGGGGAAGGGGGGGAAGGGGGAGGAAACCCTTGTGTGTTTGTTTCAAACAGAAACCAAGAGGAACATATATCCTGATATCCTCAGGCCTGCAAGCTCTGGCACATGCAATCCATTCAATTGGGTCGGGCTTCGAGTTGGCCAATCCATACCTGTTCAGTCGACGTATCGTTCACTTACCGAGCATAAAACTCAGATGCTCAGTGGAAAGACATGGGGAAGAAAGGGGCATCCATTGTTGGTTGGTTGAGTTTAAGGGGGAACCCTTCCCCAAAAAAGGGGAAACAGGGCGTCAATAGGCAACTGGGAAACGCCTGGCGAAAAAGCTTTGATACTGGGTGTAGGTAGCTCACAGCCCGATCAAAAATAGTTTTTCCCAGACTGCTCTCTTGACTCTTAGTGGGAAATGTCGCAAGGCCTTCCAAAACCAGTTACGTCCATGCAGTTGCCCGCGGCCCACCTTCCGCTTAGACAATTCACCATGGGGTCACTATCAAAGCTAACCAACAAGATGTGCAGGCGGCATTGACTGAAACTAAACACCGACAGATGCCATTTTGTTTGGTGTGTGTGCGTGTGTGTGTGCGTGTGTCGTGCGCGTGTCGTGCGTGTTTCAGTATCCGTATATACGTCTCTGTTTCGCGGGAACCCCTGTTTTCAGGTTGGTTAGGAAAACGAAAGGGACACCAACCGATTTTTGAGTGTCCCCTGAAACAGGGATCCTTACAATTATACACCTGATCATTGCGACTGGTCAATGGTGGTTTCCCCTTATGGTGTTGAATAAGCAACATGTAACTCAAATGGTTGGCTTGCAAAATGGAGATATTTTGAGTGTCTGAACGAAACCCATTGCCGCTTTGCGCTGCCGCTGGGCTGCCCCGCCGACTTCAAAGTCAAGTCCATCTGCGGGGTCGGCCGCCGCTCCTGCCATCTCCCCTGAAGCCCTTGAAACCCAGCGGGCCGTTCGAGAAAAAGAAAAACGATAGATATCAAAGAACAGTGGCAAGGGGATTCGCAAGAAGCCTTTCTAGAGAAAATCAAGGGCAAGAAAAAGACAGAAATTTGAATCATTTCAAGAAGAAGCTAGAAATCAAAGAACAGTGGCAAGGGGATTGAAATCATTCCAATTCAAGGGATATAGAAATTTGCATCATTTCAAGAAAAAGATAGAAATCAAAGAAAAATGGCAAGGGGATTGAAATCATTCCAATTCAAGGGATCGAACAGATCCCCACAAACTGCAGGCCAAATGGGGCGGACCCCAACAAGCGAGGCCGGCCTAACAAGGGCGGCCGGCCTTTCTCTTGCACTCTCCGCGGTCCCTCTCCGGAATGAAGCCGATGAAAAAGAAAGAACATTCTGACCCGCCACCTGTGTTGTTTCACGCGCTCAGCGGCCAGCAGATCCTTCCAGACGAGTCGAACCCACCTGCAGCGATTGAGATGTCGTCGAATGTGAACTTCAAGGGATGTTATGTAAATATAAACAAATACGTCAATAAACAAATAAACAAATAAATACATGATTAAACAAGTATGATACATATATTATAAGCTTTCTATCTCTGAAGTGACATTTAGCTTCAATTTCACAGGAGCACTCAGCAACGTGTTCCTTCCCTATTTGGCCTCACAATTACCACCATTGACAAACACTTTCATAGGCTCGGAGCAAGCCGGGCAAGTCCGGATTCAGTTTCGTGGACAATGAATGAGAACCGATTGGATTGCACTTCCGTGCTCTGGTTCGTTGGAAATCCCATACAGATCCTGAAGCTTTGGGGGGAACACCAAGTTCAAATTCGTGTTCTCATTTCTTGAGTTGATTGGTCAAAACAAGTCTGAACTTGTTATTAACCACTAAACTGGTCTTCCCGGAAAGTGCTGACTAAAGACCAGGAAGTCACGGAGCAAGTTGCGCTGGTCGAAAACGCTTGCTTGCGGGTTTGCTTGTGTCCGAACCCGAAACCTCATGGCCTAGGCGTCTCCTGTCTCTTGAGCTCCTGCAGTCCAGGGCTAAGCCTAGCCTGCAATTATGCGAAATGAGATGGCACACCATCCGTCACCATTCCTCGGTTGCTTTCTGCTCCCCTGCTAAAAGTTTAACTTTTAGTGACCTCCATGCTGCCCGGTTAGCTCGCCGGCCTGTCGATTGACAAGCGAACAAGAAGCCGGTTTGGCCTCTGAATTGTGTGCAGCTCTGCCCAAGTGCTATTCACGTTGAAGGCAGAGGATTCAGAACATTAGGACCCACGAGACTTGCGGCACATCCCCACATGTGCGACTCGCCACCTGTTGGCATTATCGAGCAAACCTTTAGCTGTGTATATGCCATCTTCTGGCCGGATGTCAAACTTCTGGCGGGGCACTTTTAATGGCTTGGACAGGTTGGTAGCATTTCCAAATGTGTGGAGGTAGTCACACAGCAGGGTTTTCACCTCAGCATACTTTGGGATCCAAGCTGCCCGGAGAAAGCCCATTGCCTGAAGGTTAACCCCATATTTTCTTGCTAGATTTTGTCGGCCTCCTTGAGACCATGGGAAAATTTCTGATCCGGTTATGCTACTTAGCGTTCGCATGGCATGCTGAAAAGCTTTGATTTCTTCTCCCAGGGAACGTTGGTGTAAGACAGGTGTGTAGTGGACTCCCTCCGTAAGAAAAGTCCCTTTTACCCACGGTGACGGGCGAGGTAAAGGAATGGCCATGGTTACGGAGAAGGAGATATACAGTTCTGTCCAGCTCACGAAGCCTTCGCTGCAATTTGGTCGCCAGCGGATGTGCTGGGCCCACTGAAGGGCGGCTTGGTTAAACGTAACGCCCCAGACTGAACAAGCCGGCCAATTAGGGTTGGTTGGCGAGCATGGGATCACTTCCCAACTGGTCGGAGCAGTGGTTGGGTGCTCTTCCTCCTCTGGCATTGGTGCATCAGGACCTGGATTTTTACTCGCATTTAGAAAGGTAGCCGCAATTAAAGCAATTCCAGTATAGATTTTCTGCCAGATTTGCGGTCTCCACTCATTTTCTTCAGCAAGTCTTTTTCGAATGAGTGCTCCGTGTGGGGTTTCTAGCTCACGCGCGGCGTTCGCCGCAGCATCAGCCATCTGATTTCCTCGTTGCTGATATGCAATTACATCGGACTCGTTGAAGTCTGCATGTGACTTCACTTTAACGAATTGCACATCTCTATTATCTGCAGGTCACAAACAAATTGCATCCCACAATACCTGCAAGATGTCGAAGTTGTCAGAGTTACAGAAAGCCTGTACGTTTTTAGATATGATCAATTTCTTTGCCCAATTGATAGCATATTGGCTATCTGAGTGAATTGTTACGTTTACACCAACCGTGAGCGCCCTTGCTATTGCAACTAGCTCAGCTCTCTGGATGCTTGGTATTCCTGGGGGCTTTCCAGTCTCTAAAGTGCGGAAGGTATCCCCCCACATGCCATGCAGTTTTCCCATTCGTGCCGTATGGCACCTGAGCTCAGGGATTTCAAGGGTATCCCACACAACGGCATAGCCAGCGTCTTGGTCAGCATAGGATCCATCAGTGTAAAGGTGGAAGTTTTCACGGTTGCATGGGCATTCGACACGATGCGACGGCAAGCCACGATTCAAGCATATGGCCCTCCATCCTGCGCTGTGGCTACTAACAGGTACCCACGGTGCACGTGCATCGGCGTGGTTGAGAATTTCAATTTCGGGGAGCTTTGCTCGGATGGGTTCACTAAGTGGGCATGTGAGAACCCTATGCTCCACCGTGTCTTCATTACCACAGTGTTCGCATTGGGATGTTTCATCTTTCCACATACTCACATGGTGTCGTGTCACAATACCACCTGCAAGATGAATTCGCAGCAATGATTGGAGTTTGGGTGGGAATTCTGCAAGGAGCTTGCAGGTGAGGTCAATGTCTGGCACTGGAATGTTATTGAGTTGGGATCGCTGTGTGAATTCGTGCCATACATGTGTGTACCACGCCCTGTGGACAAAGTTGTCAAGTTGTTTGGGACAGCAGGTGCAAATATTGATTCTTGACCCATCACTCGAGATCAGGTCAAGTTCAGTATTAAAGTGGAGGTGAAGGTTGCGAAGGTGCACATTGCAAACACTGGCAGGACCATATGTATGCATGGGGTCCACGCCCTGGTTGGCAAGGATTGCGACGCTGCCGTTATAACGGGTCGGGTATCGGCATTGGGCTTCTCGAATTTTCTTTAAGGATTTTTTAACAAGGACAATTCCAGGGTCAAAAGCTCCTTTTTGTAGAGTCAGCATCATTATCTTGGGGTTCACTCTATGATGAGATCGGAACAACGCATTCACCGAAGCAGTTCGTATCTTACAGACTTGTTGTTTACCAATGTAAATGATTTCGCTTCCATAGAAGCCAGCCGCGAATGCGTTACTTGCAAGTAACTGGGCTTTATGGAGAGGATTCATTGGTAATCCTTCAAGTTTTTGCGCACGTCTGACAAGTTCCTTTAGTCGTTCGGCAACAATACCGTGTCGGACGCTTTTCCTATATCTCATGTGGCCTCCCAGGTCGCGGGCGGCGTTATTGACAGGAAAGGCTATGTCCTGATTCTCCTTTGTCATGCTTTGGGTGGACCAGACCCATGATTTTTGCGCGTCCAATTTTAGGTGCCACACCTTACAAAATTTCGACATCACTTCGATGGATTCCTTCACCTGCGCACCTGAGTTGGTCGTGATTTCAAAGTTGTCAACGTAAATTATTGGCTTAGTGGCCGTTTTAGATTTGAGGTGATACACGAGCCAGCCTCCCAAAATTGCAGCAGCAATGACAGAAAAAGGGCACCCTTCAGGGATACCCTGTCTGGACAGGTGCGGTAATGAGTGCGCCTTGTTGATCACCACGACTCTTTTGAGCTGTGTCAACAGGCTCATCCAGCTTTGGATTAACTTTGGATGAAGCCCTGCGGCTTGTAGTAAATTACCTAGGGCAGCACGTGGTATGGAGTTGAAGAATTTCTGTACATCTGTTACGGCACCAAAAAGTACCTGGTCGTCAAGAAGTGCTTTTTCGATGGTAAATTGCAGCTGATGCCATACGGCATCTGCCGAACGTCCGGGCACACCGCCACGGACTTCAGCGGGTAGTTTATATGCTAATTGTCTTAACATATCCCGCGCAACTGCTTTGGCGCTTACTCTATAGAGTAGCCCGAGTATGGTGATGGGCCTGCCGGATGAAATATCAACAGGATTGGCATGCTTCGACGGGATCACCACTCGTGCAAACTGAAGGGCAGCCGGCCAAGGGAGGGAACAGTCAAGTATTCGATTGAAGATCCCGCACCATTCTTCAAGGATTTCATCTGGTAGCATTGCGAGTTCCGGTTGGGTCCATCCATCTGCACCCTGGCTAGTGTTGGTTTTGGTGTCTTGTATACTCTGCTTTAGTGCTTCGACCTGGACGGTCACGCCTCCTTCAATTTTCCACTGTTCTGGGTAGCATTCAAAATCAACATAACTGAAGTCGCAAGGGTCCGGCGATTGCCACTCAAAGCCCCAAAATTGCTCCCAATATTCAAAGAAGAGCCGGTGAAGGTTCTCATGGTCATATCGCCATCGGTGGATCTGTGCCTGAATTTTTGGCTCTGCACTGGGTTTCGGGAGGGTAAAGAGATTTCTACCCTCATTCATTCTTTTCAATGGTTGACCTTTATATATTACCAGGTCTTCACAAGCAAGTTCATGTTTTTGTAGCTTATATACGGCACCCTGTTTGTTTCGGGTTCTAGTCAATCTGAGTTCAGTGTCAACTCTCTCAAGGACACAGGTGATTGGCGGGTTCTGAAGTTTTTTCAACAAGCCATGGGCTCTGCGGTTACCCTGAGTTTTCCGAGATGTTTCAAGTTCTTCCTTAAAAGTAACTTTTTTGTCTTTTTTTATCTGGGCA